TGAGAGGGCTGACTGCGGACATGATCTGATGTGGGGAAAAGCAAAGCAAGCCTACTAGAGATTCAAAGTAGGATCCTTTGGTAACATTGTGTCCGTTTGAGCTTTATCATCATTACAGTGAAATCTGCACAGCTCAGCTGTAATTTTCTTCTGGGAATATTCAGCTCTTCAGGTGCAGGTACCAGGCAAAGGGAAGGGTTCACCCAGGTCTGGTGTCTTAAACAGGGACGTGCCACAGCGGGACAGAATGCCGGGATGGAGGGTGTTCAGGAAGCAGCGATTGTATAATGGACCATGTGTCAAGGAGAAGAATCAACAAAATATCAAAATCTCAGATAACTTATCAGTATAGAGGGGCGCGCTGAGAGTATCCATGCAACACAAATAGGTTGCAGCAGTTTTCACCGTAGGGTGTGCATTCACACGACACTAAGGCTGCATTCTTTATGACAGCATCGAAATCATCAAAGTAATAACTTGCTATACAGCGAACATGTATGACATGAGAGGAAGATTATTCCTAACAGAAGCACTAGTTTGATAGGTGTTAAATGGTCAGAAACCAGAATGCTGACCAATTTAGGAGAAATCAACAAAATAATCAAATCCAGAAAATGCTGGGTAGCCAGCGACTCACCCCTGTAGATTCAACCACTTGGGAGGCATATGTGTGAGGTATCACATGTAGTCCAGCAATTTACCAGGCTAATAGTTACTGGCATATCTATCAGATATCTGAGTGATTTCTAGAGACACCTAAGAAACTATAAACAATCAACTGAAGTTAGCACTGGTTGGTAGGGCAGCCATTAAATTGGTGTATTGCCTTCAGGGGTCCATGCACATGGAGGGCTTGAGTTGAGCAGAGAGGATTTTTTAGAGTCCTCTATATTGGCGGGAGCAGGAGGAAGATCTAAGTTGCTATATATATGAACTGGATTGTGAGAGCTCCACCCGGTGCAGAGGCACAGATGAGGAACCATTACGTGTCTCTAGAGATTAAAAAAAAAAAAAAAAGGCCCGCGGCACGCGCAACAGACAAGACGTTGGCTCTAAGCTGCGGTAAATCCCAGCATCTGTAGCGTGTACAGGGCCTAGGCCGCGACACCTGTAGCGTCACCGAGTCCAGGAGATCGAGCACAACTCCCGATCCTGGCTGACACGGTGAAAGCAGCTGAGGCACCGTCTCCGGTACTAAAAAAATAGACCAAAGAACTAGCCCGGCGAGCGACCCAGGAATTGGATTGCAGTGTGAAGGATGGGAAGTCTCCGTATGCCCACACCAATCGAATACTACCGCCAGCACCTGGTATCAGAGTGGGAGAGAATGGGTCAGAAGATGACCCCTGGGGAGGGCCGGAGCTTTCTTGCCCCAGTCTAGTTACTGACCGATCCCCACACATCCACACACCACCCCACATGTGAGAGCGAGTGCATCCAACCCTGCAGCCACCAGAAGCGAGACTCACCACGCTCACATCAAAAAAACAAAACAAAACAACAACAAAAAAAAAAGCAGGGGATGGCTCAGGGGCTTAAGTGTAAGGGGCATCGACTCAATGGTAAGCTTGGAAGGGTAGTTGGGGCTAGGAGGTTGAGGATATAGGAGCGATTATCTCCTTTAACTGGTCTCATCCCACATTTCCTAAGATGGATATAATAATACTATAAGGACTAGATAATGGTACATGTGAGAGGCACTTTCCTCTGACGGCAAAGACATGAGTCATGATATGAGAAATCAAAAGCAAGCCTAAACTAGTCTAATTCACAATATATGGAGATCTGGATGGTAATCATTGGTGTTTCTCGTTTTACTTATCTATTTTATTATTTATTAGTATAATGACACAACCAGACACAGCGAGAGAGTGTACGCGTTCTGCGAAGCTCTCAGTCTCACATTTTCAGTGCAGGCTACCACGGCAGCGCCAAATAGGAAACGGGGTCACGAGTCACAGGCACTCTTCTGAGAGTACAGGCGGCCGGATGGTCCCTTACACGCTTCCCGAGAGACATGGACACTGCCGTGATGGAGAGTATGGGTTAGTGAAGCGAGCGAATTTTGACTAAGAATGGATCCAGCTAGTTGAGTACCAGTCATGGATCACACAGACCTGGGGAGCCAAGAACTGATTGCACCTAGATTTTATTAGGTACACAGGCACAGACCAATGGGTTCGAGTGAATAATACACGAATGATCCGGAAGCTGCTCGGCATTCTGTGTGGGCCCCACCTAAGAAAGGCACTGCGTGCCTCCAAAAAAACAAGCTGCACTCTGCCCCTTGCCCATGGTTCATTTCGTAGTGAAGCCCTCTTCGCCGCCCAGGGCAGGAGTGCTAGTCGGCGGCTCCAATTCGTGCTGGCCTATTCAACAGCATGCCAGTCGAGCCACTATCCCGCTCGCCATTCTCGGTTCAACCAATGACCTGATACATCTCCTGCCTCCAACCCCTCCGGATAGCCTGGGACTGGAATTTTTGATCATTGGGCCAGGCACTTGACACACCGCACATGTGGACCTAACACTCAGTCATAGAGGTATTTATTATTTTAGTAGAGATAGGGTTCCATCCGCGTGTTTGTCCCGTCTTTGTATTTTGCAAGTCGCTGGTCTCTATATATCTCCCTGCCCTCTCTGTATCTCCTCCCACTCATCCCTCATATTCCCTGGGCTATTCACGCCTCAGGTCACCAACACATAGTGCGGGGATAACAGGCGTTGTCACCATGACTCGTTCTCTGGCCCTTCACATATAGCGTACTTTGTTTTTTGTGGGACCAGCTAGGGTATCATTAACCTCTGCCCAGAAATCCCCAGGCTGGGTAGTATATCTAGGCCGGTACTTCGCTAATGCTCCTACACTAAGACCCGTACCCACTTCCTAGGACTTTCAAGTGTATTCTCCTTATTGCGATTCAGTCTCATCAAAGGTAATCTTAGGTGAGTACCGTAAACCAGGGACAGTACCTTACCACGCGTCCCTGTGTGTCTGGCTTTTTCTGTCCCTGCTGCCTAACAACAAGCTCCAACAGGCTATCTAGTGTCTCTTTTAATGAACAAACTCAATTTTGTTATTTTGTGTATAACCACACAAAATGAACGATTGGGAGTCCACAAGTGTCCAGGCTGTCGTCTAGAAAAAAAAAACCCATCCTGACCTCAGGTGATCAC